TGGATGAGGGGAAAGCAGTGGACGTGTTATTCCTTGACTTTAACAAAGCTTTTGATATGGTCTCCCACAGTATTCTTGCCAGCAAGTTAAAGAAGTATGGGCTGGATGAATGGACTATAAGGTGGATAGTAAGCTGGCTAGATCGTCGGGCTCAACGGGTAGTGATCAATGGCTCCATGTCTAGTTGGCAGCCGGTATCAAGCGTAGTGCCCCAAAGGTCGGTCCTGGGGCCGGTTTTGTTCAATATCTTCATAAATGACCTGGAGGATGGCGTGGATTGCACCCTCTGCAAGTCTGCAGATGACATTAAACTGGGAGGAGAGGTAGATATGCTGGAGAGTAGGGATAGGATACAGAGGGACCTAGACAAATTTAAGCATTAGGCCAAAAGAAATCGGAAGAGGTTCAGGACAAGTGCAGAGTCCTGCACTTAGGACGGAAGAATCCCATGCACCGCTACAGACTAGGGACCGAATGGCTAGGCAGCAGTTCTGCAGAAAAGGACCTAGGGGTTACAGTGCATGAGAAGCTGGATATGAGTCAACAGTGTGCCCTTGTTGCCAAGAAGGCCAGTGGCATTTTGGGATGTATAAGTAGGGGCATTGCCAGCAGATCGAGGGACGTGATCATTCCCCTCTATTCGACATTGGTGAGGCCTCATCTGGAGTACTGTGTCCAGTTTTGGGCCCCGCACTACAAGAAGGATGTGGAAAAATTGGAAAGCGTCCAGCGGAGGGCAACAAAAATGATTAGAGGGCTGGAACTCATGACTTATGAGGAGAGGCTGAGGGAACTGGGATTGTTTAGTCTGCAGAAGAGAAGAATGAGGGGGGATTTGATAGCTGCTTTCAACTCCCTGAAAGGGGGTTCCAAAGAGGATGGATCTAGACTGTTCTCAGTGGTAGCAGATGACAGAACAAGGAGTAATGGTTTCAAGTTGCAGTGGGGGAGGTTTAGATTGGATATTAGGAAAAACTTTTTCACTAGGAGGGTGGTGAAGCACTGGAATGGGTTACCTAGGGAGGTGGTGGAATCTCCTTCCTTAGAAGTTTTTAAGGTCAGGCTTGAGTAAGCCCTGTCTGGGATGATTTAGATGGGGATTGGTCCTGCTTTGAGCAGGGGGTTGGACTAGATGACCTCCTGAGGTCCCTTCCAACCCTGATATTCTATGATTCTATGAGTCAGAGCCTGTTTACAGCATCCTCTGGAAGGCTCCGGGGTGGGAGATAAGCTTTTCCTAAGGCCTATTGTTCTCCCTAATGGTTCATTAACTTGAATGGGCCCTTCCCAGCCAGCCATCTAGACTGATTGCATTCTGCCTAGTAGGTGTTCCCCATTTGTAAACACATTTGTAATAGTTACATAGACAACGTTCCTAACTTCAGATACAAAAATGATACATGTATACAAATAGGATAATCTTATTCAGTAAATCAGAACCTTTCCAGTGATATCTGACATGATCTATCTTGCATAAAATACATTATGGTTATGTCATAATCATATAATTATAATATTACCGTGAAGAATATGGGGTGCAGTGTCACAGGGACTTGTTTTGTATCAAGAGAGTTTTGAAGGCTTTCTGATGAGTATTGGTCCAGTACATTTATAAATCTGCTGAGTACCATCCCCAAGGAAATGGGATAGTGGAGAGACTGCAGGGAACTGGGAAGAAGCCTGTAGCTTGCATACTGGAGGAATACTGAGATACATCCTTCCCTATTGGTCCTGCTTTGAGCAGGGGGTTGGACTAGATGACCTTCTGGGGTCCCTTCCAACCCTGATATTCTATGATTCTATGATTCTATTACATTGAGTGATGATTTATGATATTCAGAGTACACATCATGAAAGTACTGGAGAAACCCCATTCTATCAGTTCTTCAGCTGACCTATGAGGACCATTTGTCTATGCTAACAGGAAAGATTCATCCCACCCCTTTGCCATCCCCAAAGCTGACTGATGTGAATAGGAAATATGTGAGTTTCAACAGGTGTATCCATGCAAGACTCCATGAGTTCTTTCCTGGACAAACAGTGTATGTTAGACTTGGGTCTGGAAGAGTTTTCAATACTAGTGGTGTGATCTTCTGGGCTGCAGGGTACAGAACATGGTGAGTGCATTTACTACAGATAGAACATGTTCTTAACCGGCAAGATATTCTGCCTAGTGAAAGGGGAACAGAGAGGGAAGAGGACACTCTTTCTGTGTATGATGGGATCATGGGCAGTTGGGAATTGGCACCACAGTAACAGTATCCACCTCCTGAGCTGAATTAGAGGTATAATTTACAGCTCTGGGATTACCTGGTGCCTCTAGCAAAGTACTACTGAACTTTTGGGGAGAAGAGAAGGAAATTATGATGTGGTGTGTATGTTGCCTTCTTGCTTCCTCTCCCTGTTCTTTTCCTAGTTCCTGCTCCTTGAACTCAGTGATCGGAGGTGTGTGTGTAGTTATTTAGGGTCTGCTGCTACTTATCTCCCTTTCAGACTGTCATGTTTTGTTCAGACAGTTGCTGACTTAACCTTTCATGTTTATTACATTTTGATTGACAACTTGCTTGTGTGTCATGCTTTGGGGTGGGGTTTTGTTTTTTTGTTTTTTGGTGTTTTGGGATTGCCATTCTGGGGTGCTTTTGAATCTCATATCTCGGAAAAGGAGTATGCTTTTATTGATTATAATGTTTATATTAAGTGCCCCAAAGTGTCTTGGATATCTCCCAGGTTAGAGAGAGAATGTAGTCCCTGCCCTAAGAGCTTAAAGTCAAAACAAGCAAAACATACCACGGATGTGGGGAGGGGAAGTGGCACCCATCAGGGTCTCTTGATGGGATGTCCTCCCATAATTTTTTTGATGTAAACCAACCCTTTCCGTTTACTCTATCCTTGCTGTCCTAGTGCCTGATCCTGCCTGCTGCCCCTTGGGAAACAGACCCTTCTCCCATCCTGCCTGCCCCACCAGATAAAACCATGGCTCATTGCAAAGGTGTGAAACACTCAGCTAGTCGGAACCCTCTTATTCAGTTTGGGGCAAGGGGAGACCAGGAAATGAGCACCTCCCTATCATGGAGTCTGGGAGCAAGTGGCTCCTCCACCCCTTGTGTAATCTGTTAATGAAACATACAGATAATACTAAATTGAGAGGAATTGCAAACTCCAGTGAGGATAGAGATGATACAAAGGCTCTAGAGGGAGATGGGCAGGTAATACAGCATGTTTCCACCTAGAAACATGTACATTACTGCATGTGAGAGAGAAGTAACCTGAAAGATAGATGTTTACACAGCAGGCACTGGCTGGGAGAGACTGAGGAGAGGTACATATTCATTAATGATCTGGAAAAGCGGATGAACAGTGAAGTGGCAAAGTTTGCAGCTGATCCAAAATTACTCAAAGTAGTTAAGTCCAAAGCTGACTGCAATGAGTTACAGAGGAATCGCATAAAAGTTGGTGATTGGACAACAAAATGGCAGATGAAATTCAACATTGATAAGTGCAAAGTAATCTACATTGGAAAAAATAATCCCAACTATACTTACACAATGTTGGATTTAAAATTAGCTGTTACCACTGAAGAAAGAGATCTTGGAGTCACTGTGGATAGTTCTCAGAAAACGTCTGCTCTATGTGAAGCAGCAGTGGTCAAAATGATTAACAGTATGTTAGGAACTATTAGGAAAGGGATAGAAAATATCCTAATGCCTCTACATAAATCCATGGTGTGTCCACACCTGTCATATTGTGTCCAGTTCTGGTTGCACCATCTTGAAAATGTTCAGAGAAGGGCAACAAAGATTATCAAGGATATGGAGCAGCTTCCATACAAGGAGAGACTAAAAGATTAGATCTTTCAGCGTAGAAAAGAGACGACTAAGGGGGGTGACGGTAGAGGTCTATAAAGTCATGAATGAGTGGAAAAAATGACTAGAAAAGGGTTATTTACCCTTTAACACAATACAAAAAACAGGGGTCATCAATGAAATTAATAGGGCGCAGGTTTAATACAAACAAGAGGAAGTACTCTTTCACACAGTGCATGGTTAACCTGTGGAACTCATTGTCGTGGAATGTTATGATGACCAAAAGTATAACTGGGTTAAAAAAAAGAACTGGATAAGTTCATGGGGGTTAGGTCCCTGAAATGCTATATTAGACAAGATGATCAGGGGTGCAGCCCCATGCTCAGAGCGACCTCTCACTACTAGAAGCTGGGAGTGGAATGTAGGGGTGGATCACTCCATAAATTACGTGTTCTGTACACTCCCCATGAAGCTTTGGTATGGGCCAGATACCAGGTAAGCTGGACCCTGGTCTGAACCAGTATGGAACCAACTCTTACACCTTGAACGTAAGTTTGCCCTGCAAAATGGCAGCAAGGAGCATCTATGTGACTTTAGTGCCTTATCTGGAGTAATCCATTCAGATACAAATGTATGAAGAGTGTAAATGCCACAGAGGGAGAGAAATTATTTAAGGGGGCTCAAGGAGTGTAACTAGGGGTAGTTAGATGAAACTGAGGGTTTGTACACACTAATGCTTACTTCAGTATAACTTAAGTTGCTCAAGGGTGTGGAAAAGCCACCCCCCGAATGATGTAAGTTATACCGATCAATGGCATGGACTGTCTACACTAGCACGCTACAACCGTGCAGTGCATCGCGATTCTAGTGTCGACTAGCCCTTTGATAGTTGTGCTCTACCCAGGTTCATGTTCTGCACTTATCCACTGGGATTTGAGCACTTCCCAGAACTAGGAAGGAAAAAACTTCTGACAATAAGATCTTTATCTGTGGGAATCACCCTCCTGAGGCAAAGGCTGGATTCATGTTTGCTAACAAGCCCCACCATAACCCCTGCACCAGCTGTGATTCTGTGAGATCTACCATTTGGGAGCCAGCTTTCACAAGGGGTGCAATGAAGTACAAAGAGTTGCCTGTCTCTGGCTACACTAAGTGGAAGGGGACTTTTTACTAATTTTTTTTCTCCTCCTTTCTTAGCTGCTTGGAGATTTTGCAGAGTACAGAGCTGAAAGACTGGAGATGTGGGTAGGTGTGGACTGCTGCACATGGGTCTGGGCTGAGCATGATGGCTCTGTGCTGTACTGTGTGCATGTGTGGAGTGGGGACTAGCTCTCTGCAATAACTGGCACCTTTTATGTACGATGGGCCCGTTCTAGTGATGGGATGGGGTCTGGAATGAGTCCTATATCTTACTATTGCCTTTGCATTCTCTCCCATCCCCACAGGAAGTCCCGCCTCTTTTTTAAGTACTGGCACCAGGAACTGCTGGCAAAGAGCATGGACCGCTTGGAAAAGGCAGCAATAATCATCCAGAAGAGTGAGTATTGGGACAGGAGGGTCTCTTCCCACCCAGAGTGCATATCAAGGCTGGGAGCGGAGGCGGAAGTCCTTCCCCAACCTCTCTCTCATCACAGAAGGTCCTTCGATAGCATTCCAGGGCTTTGGAGACAGAAAAACATGATAAGGCTCCATTGCTAAGGCACCTCAAACCCTTTGTGTTCGTGGTGTGAACAACAAATGCTCAGAGCCTTCAATAAGCAGGAAAGCAGTCTGAGTGTGGACAGGAAGGGGCATATGAGGGAGAGCTGAGCAGGTGCAAGCTAGCTGGTCTCGCTGTAAAGTGGATGTCCAGGGAAGTGGTTAATGAGCTTATAATGATGGGATGAATTGTAAGAAGTCATAGGAAGCTGGAGAGAAGCACCAGCAGAAGGGGAGACTAGCAAATGTCATTATCTTCTTAGGGAAGGACAGCAGTGTATGATCCAGGTGCTCACTGCCCTACTAGCCTGGCTTCTGTCCCTGGCAGAACAATGGGATCGTGAGCAATAGGTGTGCTGGTGAGAGACATGGTACAGCTTTCTCTGTGCACAGTCTCTCTGGTATGACTCTGTATTGGGCACACAGGTACTACAGGATGCTGCTCCTGCCCTGTCCTTGTGCCTTGTTGTTTCAGCGGAGTCTCTGCTCTAACTGTAGCTTCTCTCTGAGCAGCTTACAAGAGATTCTGCTGTAGGAAGAGTTACCAGGAGCTGGTGGCCGAGCTCAGAGCCCGGGAGAAGCACCTACAGGAGGAAGCGGAGAGAGAGAGCAACAGGCAACTGGAACTGGAGTCCCAGGCCCAGAGTAAGTCACTGACACCTCCTCATTCCATCAATATCTCTGTGCCCCAAATGCCTGGCTGCTCACTTAGTGGCTGTTTCCAGCCACTACAGACCCTACCGGGTCTGACTGCCTTATTCCCTAGCTGTAGCTGAGCCCTCAGGCCACACTCTCTTCCATGCCACACCTGAGCTGTGGGTAGTTAGAGGGGGTAATACACCTGCCTCTGTGAAACTCTCCTCCAGCATTTGCCTCAGGACAGGCCCTCTCTTCACTTGGAAATGGAGGCACTTTCCCATAGAGGCTGGGAACTGAGCTGTGAAATCCCACATGCCTTGGGCTGGGAATATGAAAGGCACCCTGGCCTGACCCAGCCTCTTCTGCTCATGTAGCATGGGATGGCTTCATGCCATCTCCCACTCCGAGCTGGCTTTTCTTCCCTAGAGCGTGGAGCAGGAAGTGTCAGCAAAGCACATACCCCACCCCATCTCACTCCTTTCCATGCTCCATAGCAAGGCTCAGGTGGGATGGGAAAGTTCCAAGCTCCATGGATTAATGTTCCTGGGAGTGCTTTGTCTTGCAGCTGCCATGGTGCCTGCTGGAGAGGCAGAACCTTCCCCATGGTACCCTTGGGTGTGACGGTATGTGCCCACATGCTCCATTCCTGGGTAGGATGAATCATTCCCTGGGGGTTCCTAATGCCTTTTATTCCCTCCTCTCACCAGTTGCCTCACCAGTCCCTGTGCCACGGAGGAGACGTCCTCAGCCCCTCCCCAGGTCTCAGCCTGGAGCTGATTCTCTGACACAGCCACCAGTACCACGCCCTCGCAGCAAACTCACAGAGGTAATAATGTTGGCTTTGCCTAGGGTCAGATATCCAGGGACGTCCCAACATGTGATCTTGGGGGAGCCCTCCCATCTGCGGATCCCGTACATGTGATCCAGGGAGAACCACACTCCTCATCCATGTAACCAGGAAGAAAGGGGAGTTCATGCCCAGTATTGTGAGTTTAAATAAACCAAACCTGGTAGAACCTTGGGCAGGGCCTGGTCTTGGGAGAACTGGAAGTGGAAGGTGGATGAGGTTCCTGTCTGGTCTCCCCTTGGGCACAGACTTGAGTGAGGTAATCTGTGATATCTTCAAAGGAGCATACTGTAGGTGTCCCCCACCTCTTGCTCCTGCCTCCACTGTTGATTTTCAGTAAGTGTTGGGGCACAGCAGAAGTTCCAGGAGACTGGAAGAAGCTAGTGTTGTGCCAGTTTGTAAAAAGACAGAAATGGGATGACACAAGTGATCATAGGCCTGTCAGTCTGGACAAGATAATGAAGTAGCTGAGACAGGACTCGACTAATAAAGAATTAAAGGAGGGTAATGTAATTAGTGCAAATCAACATGGGTTTATGGAAAATAGATCCTGTCAAACTAACCTGGTATCTTCTTAGATGAGATTACAAGTTTGGTTGATAAAGGTACTAGCGTTGATGTAATACATGTAAATTTCTGCAGTGTGTTTGACTTGGTATTTCACAACATTTTGATTTAAAAAACTAGAAGGATATAAAATTAACATGGCACACATTAAATAGGTTAAAAACTGGCTAAATGATAGGTCTCAAAATGTAATGGTAAACAGGGAATCATCATCAAGTGGGTGTGTTTCCAGTGGAGTCCCGCAGGGATCAGTCCTTGGCCCTCCGCTATTTAAAACTTTTATCAGTGACCTGGAAAACGACATAAAATCATCACTGATAAAGTTTGGAGATGACCCAAAAATTGGAGGAGTGGTAAATAGCGAGGACGAGTGCTAGTCCTGGTGCAAGTGCTAGAGGAGCCAACTAGGGGGGGGCGCTTTTCTTGACCTGCTGCTCACAAACCGGGAAGAATTAGTGGGGGAAGCAAAAGTGGATGGGAACCTGGGAGGCAGTGACCATGAGATGGTTGAGTTCAGGATCCTGACACAGGGAAGAAGGGAAAGCAGCAGGATACGGACCCTGGACTTCAGGAAAGCAGACTTCGACTCCCTCAGGGAACTGATGGGTAGGATCCCCTGGGGGGCTAACATGAAGGGGAAAGGAGTCCAGGAGAGCTGGCTGTATTTCAAGGAATCCCTGTTGAGGTTACAGGGACAAACCATCCCGATGTGTCGAAAGAATAGTAAATATGGCAGGCGACCAGCTTGGCTTAACGGTGAAATCCTAGCGGATCTTAAGCATAAAAAAGAAGCTTACAAGAAGTGGAAGGTTGGACATATGACCAGGGAAGAGTATAAAAATATTGCTCGGGCATGTAGGAATGAAATCAGGAGGGCCAAATCGCACCTGGAGCTGCAGCTAGCGAGAGATGTTAAGAGTAACAAGAAAGGTTTCTTCAGGTATGTTGGCAACAAGAAGAAAGCCAAGGAAAGTGTGGGATGATGAATGAGGGAGGCAACCTAGTTACAGAGGATGTGGAAAAAGCTAATGTACTCAATGCTTTTTTTGCCTCTGTCTTCACTAACAAGGTCAGCTCCCAGACTGCTGCACTGGGCATCACAACATGGGGAATAGATGGCCAGCCCTCTGTGGAGAAAGAGGTGGTTAGGGACTATTTAGAAAAGCTGGACGTGCACAAGTCCATGGGGCCGGACGAGTTGCATCCGAGAGTGCTAAAGGAACTGGCGGCTGTGATTGCAGAGCCATTGGCCATTATCTTTGAAAACTCGTGGCGAATGGGGGAAGTCCCGGATGACTGGAAAAAGGCTAATGTAGTGCCAATCTTTAAAAAAGGGAAGAAGGAGGATCCTGGGAACTACAGGCCAGTCAGCCTCACTTCAGTCCCCGGAAAAATCATGGAGCAGGTCCTCAAAGAATCAATCCTGAAGCACTTAGAGGAGAGGAAAGTGATCAGGAACAGTCAGCATGGATTCACCAAGGGAAGGTAATGCCTGACTAATCTAATCGCCTTCTATGATGAGATTACTGGTTCTGTGGATGAAGGGAAAGCAGTGGATGTATTGTTTCTTGACATTAGCAAAGCTTTTGACACGGTCTCCCACAGTATTCTTATCAGCAAGTTAAAGAAGTACGGGCTCGATGAATGCACTATAAGGTGGGTAGAAAGTTGGCTAGATTGTCGGGCTCAACGGGTAGTGATCAATGGCTCCGTGTCTAGTTGGCAGCCGGTGTCAAGTGGAGTACCCCAGGGGTCGGTCCTGGGGCCGGTTTTGTTCAATATCTTCATAAATGATCTGGAGGATGGTGTGGATTGCACTCTCAGCAAATTTGCGGATGATACTAAACTGTGAGGAGTGGTAGATACGCTGGAGGGCAGGGATAGGATACAGAGGGACCTAGACAAATTGGAGGATTGGGCCAAAAGAAATCTGATGAGGTTCAATAAGGATAAGTGCAGGGTCCTGCACTTAGGACGGAAGAACCCAATGCACAGCTACAGACTAGGGACCGAATGGCTAGGCAGCAGTTCTGCGGAAAAGGACCTAGGGGTGACAGTGGACGAGAAGCTGGATATGAGTCAGCAGTGTGCCCTTGTTGCCAAGAAGGCCAATGGCATTTTGGGATGTATAAGTAGGGGCACAGCGAGCAGATCGAGGGACGTGATCGTTCCCCTCTATTCGACATTGGTGAGGCCTCATCTGGAGTACTGTGTCCAGTTTTGGGCCCCACACTACAAGAAGGGTGTGGATAAATTGGAGAGAGTCCAGTGAAGGGCAAGAAAATGATAAGGGGTCTGGAACACATGACTTATGAGGAGAGGCTGAGGGAATTGGGATTGTTTAGTCTGCAGAAGAGAAGAATGAGGGGGGATTTGATAGCTGCTTTCAACTACCTGAGAGGTGGTTCCAGAGAGGATGGTTCTAGACTATTCTCAGTGGTAGAAGAGGACAGGACAAGGAGTAATGGTCTCAAGTTGCAGTGGGGGAGGTTTAGGTTGGATATTAGGAAAAACTTTTTCACTAGGAGGGTGGTGAAACACTGGAATGCGTTGCCTAGGGAGGTGGTGGAATCTCCTTCCTTAGAAGTTTTTAAGGTCAGGCTTGAGAAAGCCCTGGCTGGGATGATTTAATTGGGGATTGGTCCTGCTTTTGAGCAGGGGGTTGGACTAGATGACTTCCTGAGGTCCCTTCCAACCCTGATATTCTATGACGACAGGTCACTGATTCAAAGTGTTCTGGATTGCTTGGTAAGCTGGATGCAAGCAAACAATATGTGTTTTAATACAGCTAAATGTAAATGTGTACATCTAGGAACAAAGAATGTAGACCATACTTACAGAATGGCAAGTAGTGACTCTGAAAAAGATTTGGGGTTTGTGGTGGATAATCAGTTGAACATGAGCTCCCAGTGGCCAAATGTGCTGATGTAACGCTTGGATGCATAAACAGGGACTCTCACGTAGGAGCAGAGAGGTTTATCTACCTTTCTATTTGGCACTGGTGCTACTGCTTCTGGGATCCTGTGGCCAGTTCTGGGTGCTCACCATTCAAAAAGGAGATTGATAAAGGGTTCAGAGAAGAGCCATGAGAACAGAAAAGTCGCCTTATAGTGATAGGCTCAAGGAGGTCAACCTACTTAACTTAACACAGAGAAGGTGAAGGGTTGACTTGATTAGCCTAGAAGTATCTACACGGGGAACAAATATTTAATAATGGGCTCTTCAGTCTAGCAGACTGATCCAATGGCTGGAAGTTGAAGCTAGACCAGGGGTCAGCAACCTTTGGCATGTGGCCCATCAGAGTAATCCACTGGCGGGCCGCGAGACATTTTGTTTACGTTGACCGTCCACAGGCACGGCCTCCCGCAGCTCCCAGTGGCTACGGTTCGCTGTTCCTGGCCAATGGGAGCTGCAAGAAGCGATGCAGGCCCAGCTGCCACTTCCCACAGCTCCCATTGGCCGGGAACAGCAAACCGCAGCCACTGGGAGCTGCGGGGGTCCGTGCCTATGGACGATCAACATAAACAAAATGTCTTGCGGCCCGCCAGCGGATTACTCTGATGGGCCGCGTGCCAAAGGTTGCTGACCCCTGAGCTAGACAAATTCAGATGGAACTACGGTGCAAATTGTTAACAGTGAGAGTGCTTAACTATTGGAACAATCAGAGGTGAAAGTAAGCCGGTAGAGTGAGGTACGGCGTACCGGCAAGAGCCAGTACGCCATGCCGGACCCGACCGGCTTCCCCAGACTGGCAATTTAAAGGGCACAGGGCTCCCTGCAGTGGCTGGAGCCCCAGGCCCTTTAAATCACCTCCTGAGCCCCGCTGCCGGAGCCCTGGGGTAGCGGCGGCAAGACTCCGGCAGTGATTTAAAGGGCCAGGAGCTCTAGCCACTGTGGGGGGCCCCCGGGCCCTTTAAAGTACCACCCGAGCCCCGCTGCCGGAGCCCTGGGGTAGCGGCGGCAGGTCTCTGGCGGTGATTTAAAGGGTCTGGAGCTCCACTGCGGTAGCAGCGGCTGGAGCCCTGGACCCTTTAAATCATAGAATCATAGAATCATAGAATATAAGGGTTGGAAGGGACCCCAGAAGGTCATCTAGTCCAACCCCCTGCTCAAAGCAGGACCAATTCCCAGTTAAATCATCCCAGCCAGGGCTTTGTCAAGCCTGACCTTAAAAACCTCTAAGGAAGGAGATTCTACCACCTCCCTAGGTAATGCATTCCAGTGTTTCACCACCCTCATAGTGAAAAAGTTTTTCCTAATATCCAATCTAAACCTCCCCCACTGCAGCTTGAGACCATTACTCCTCGTTCTGTCATCTGATACCATTGAGAACAGTCTAGAGCCATCCTCTTTGGAACCCCCTTTCAGGTAGTTGAAAACAGCTATCAAATCCCCCCCTCATTCTTCTCTTCTGCAGGCTAAACAATCCCAGCTCCCTCAGCCTCTCCTCATAACTCATGTGTTCCAGACCCCTAATCATTTTTGTTGCCCTTCGCTGGACTCTCTCCAATTTATCCACATCCTTCTTGAAGTGTGGGGCCCAAAACTGGACACAGTACTCCAGATGAGGCCTCACCAATGTCGAATAGAGGGGAACGATCACGTCCCTCGATCTGCTCGCTATGCCCCTACTTATACATCCCAAAATGCCATTGGCCTTCTTGGCAACAAGGGCACACTGCTGACTCATATCCAGCTTCTCGTCCACTGTCACCCCTAGGTCCTTTTCCGCAGAACTGCTGCCTAGCCATTCGGTCCCTAGTCTGTAGCTGTGCATTGGGTTCTTCCGTCCTAAGTGCAGGACCCTGCACTTATCCTTATTGAACCTCATCAGATTTCTTTTGGCCCAATCCTCCAATTTGTCTAGGTCCTTCTGTATCCTATCCCTCCCCTCCAGCGTATCTACCACTCCTCCCAGTTTAGTATCATCCGCAAATTTGCTGAGAGTGCAATCCACACCATCCTCCAGATCATTTATGAAGATATTGAACAAAACCGGCCCCAGGACCGACCCTTGGGGCACTCCACTTGATACCGGCTGCCAACTAGACATGGAGCCATTGATCGCTACCCGTTGAGCCCGACAATCTAGCCAGCTTTCTACCCACCTTGTAGTGCATTCATCCAGCCCATACTTCCTTAACTTGCTGACAAGAATACTGTGGGAGACCGTGTCAAAAGCTTTGCTAAAGTCAAGAAACAATACATCCACTGCTTTCCCTTCATCCACAGAACCAGTAATCTCATCATAGAAGGCGATTAGATTAGTCAGGCATGACCTTCCCTTGGTGAATCCATGCTGGCTGTTCCTGATCACTTTCCTCTCATGCAAGTGCTTCAGGATTGATTCTTTGAGGACCTGCTCCATGATTTTTCCAGGGACTGAAGTGAGGCTGACTGGCCTGTAGTTCCCAGGATCCTCCTTCTTCCCTTTTTTAAAGATTGGCACTACATTAGCCTTTTTCCAGTCATCCGGGACTTCCCCGGTTTGCCACGAGTTTTCAAAGATAAAACCTCTGCAGCTGGTAGCTCTGGGGGTGATTTAAAGGCCTCAGGGCTCCCAGCCGCAGCTGGAGCTCCTGGGCCTTTAAATCTTGATTTTAAAGGGCCCTGGTATTTAAAGGCCCAGCCTCTTCCCGTTGAGGCCATGCCCTCTGCTCAGGACTCTGGTGTACCGGTAAGTCCTTTAAGTTACTTTCACCCCTGGGAACAATATACGAAGGATTGTGGTGGATTCATCATCACTGACCATTTTTAAAATCAAAATTGGATGCTTATCTAAAAGTTATGCTCTATTAATTATTTTGGGAAAGGTATGTGGCCTGTGTTATACAGGAGCTCAGACTAGATGATCGCAGTAGTCCCTTCTGGCCTAGGAATCTATCAGTCTCACACCCACCTTCCTTTTTTCTCTCTTTTTCCTGTTTTCAGTCGACTCCCTTTGATAATTTTTTGCACTCCACGCCCTGCCCTGTGGTGGGGACAGAGGGGCAGACAGGAGAAGAAGAAGAAATGAGGCAAATCAAGAGGGGAGCAACTCTCCGCTGGTTCAGAGAGACACAGGCCAGGAAGGTTATGCAGGATGATGGGGCCTTTCCTGGCTGGCTGCATGGGATGATCAGCAGGAGGTGAGGACCCTAGGGGCATGCAGTTTACCAAGGGGGTTGAGCTCTGCAGGCAGAGGCTGGCATGTCCTTAGGGAGAGTGTGTATGTGAGTATGGGTTGAGGTCCCTGGAGATAGCATGGACTGTTTTCTCAGGGAGCTGGGAATAGGACACAGGGCCTTTCCGCTCAAGAGCACTGATTCCCATCCAGACCCATCAGGGAGACTGGCTGGTTTATGGAGCTAGGAGTGAGATACGGGGCCTTTTACTTCTAGATCACTAGTTCCAATCCAGGGTGGCAGCAGCTGAAGGTCTTTATCTGATTTTTATCCCAAAGATTGATGGAATGGTAAATGCTGAAGAGGACAGGGCAACCATGTAGATTTGAACTGCTTGGTAAACTGGGCCCATTTAGAATAAAAGTGTTTTAATTATGGGTGTCAATTAATCGCAGTTAACTCATGCGATTAACTCAAAAAAATTAATTGTGATTGAAAAAATTAATTGCTGTTAATCGCACTGTTCAACAATAGAATAATAATTGAAATTTATTAAATATTTTTGGATGATTTTCTACATTTTTAAATATATCTATTTCAATTACAGCACAGAATACAAAATGTACAGTGCTCACTTTATATTATTTTTATTACAAATATTTGCACTATAAAAATAATATAAGAAATTATATTTTTCAGTTCATTTCATACAAGTACTGTAGTGCAATCTCTTTATCATGGAAGTGCCTCTTTCAAATGTAGGGGTTTTTGTTACATAACTGCACTGAAAAACAAAACAGTGTAAAACTTTGGAGCCTACAAGTCCACTCAGTCCTACTTCTCATTCAGCCAACCGCGAAGAGAAACAAGTTTGTTTACATTTATGGGAGATAATGCTGCCCACTTCCTAATTACAATGTCACCTAAAAGTGAGAACAGGCATTTGCATGGCACGGTTTGTAGCTGGCGTCGCAAGACAGTTACGTTCCAGATGCGCTGAAGATTCATATGCCCCTTCATGCTTCGTCCATCATTCCAGAGGACATGCTTCCATGCTAATGACGCTCATTAAAAAAATAATATGTTCATTAAATTTGAGACTGAATTCCTTGAGGGAGAATTGTATGTCTACTGCTCTGTTTTACCCGCATTCTGTCATGTTATTGTATTCATGTTATACACAGTATTCATGTTATAGCAGTCTCAGATGATGACCCAGCACAGGTTGTTCATTTTAAGAATACTTCCACTGCAAATTTGACACAATGCAAAGAAGATACAAATGTGAAATTTTTAAAGATAGCTACAGTCCTCGACCCAAGATTTAAGAATGTTAAGTGGCTTCCAAAATCTGAGAGGGATGAGTTGTGGAGCATGCTTTGACAAGTCTTAAAAGAGCAACACTCTGATGCAGAAACTACAGAACCCAAACCACCAAAAAGAAAATCAGCCTTCTGGTGGTGGCATCTGACTCAAATGATGAAAATGAACATGCATTGGTCCACACTGCTTTGGATCGTTATCGAGCAGAACCTGTCATCAGCATGGACGCATGTCCTCTGGAATGGTGGTTGAAGCAGCAAGGGACATATGAATCTTTAGCGCATCTGGCATGTAAATATCTTGCGAGGTCAGCTACAACAGTGCCATGCGAACACCTGTTCTCACTTTCAGGTGACATTGTAATTAAGCGACAGCATTATCTTCTGCAAATGTAAACAAACTTGTTTTTCTGAGCGACTGGCTGAACAAGTAGGACTGATGGCACTTGTAGGCTCTAAAGTTTTACATTGTTTTATTTTTGAATGCAGGGTATTTTTTGTACATAATTCTATATTTGTAAGTTCAACTTTCATGATAGAGATTGCACTACAGTACTTGTATTAGGTGAAGTTTAAAAATACTATTTATTTTGTTTGTTACAGTGCAAATGTTAGTAATAAAAAATAAATATAAAATGAGCACTGTACACTTTGAATTCTGTGTTGTAATTGATATAAATATATTTGAAAATGTTGAAAACATCCAAAAATATTTAAATAAATGATATTCTATTATTGTTTAACAGCGTGATTAATCACACGATTAATTGCAATTCATTTTTTTAATTGAACCAACCCTAGTTTTAATATAATTAAATGCAAAGTTATACATCTAGGATCAAGGAATGCAGGCAATACCTGCAGAATGAGGGACTGCGTCCTGGGAAGCAGTGACTCTGTAAAGGATTTAGAGGTCATAGCTGAACATGAACTCTCAATGTGACGCTGTGGCTAAAAGGGATCCTGGAATGTGTAGAGAAGGAGCAGGGAGGTGATTTTAACTCTGTATGTAGAGTTCAATATGGCAATACTGTTGTCACAGATCCATGGGATCTGTGCTACATCCCAGCCTTTAAGCAGTCCCTTTCAGTGTGCCAGACCCCCAAGGAGTCCCGCCCTTCCTTCAGGCTAGGCTCTGCAGCATCACTGCCTCCTAGACTGAGCCTCGGGGCTCTGAGCTCTTGTGTAACGTGGTGAGCTCTGTTCAGCAAACCCAACTGAAACAGAGTCCTGGTAACGACTTGGACACTCTTCTGGGACTAATGCGCACAAGCAAGTGCTTGCAGTGACACCCAAGTCTTTTCAAGACAGAGAAGGATGTATTAGTCAACTGGAACACAGCATTGGAAATCCTTTCATTAGCATAGAGAAATAAAGATTAAAACATTGTCCATTATGGTCAATCCAGAACAATCCAGCCATTTCAGGCTCTATCTCTCTGACTCCTTTGTCAGTCCAAGGAGAGAGTAACCAGTTTCCTCCAAAAGCCCACACTTTATTCCCTGGCCATCTTGTCTCAGAGACACTGTGGTTGAGATATCTTTTATTGGACCAACTTCTGTTGGTGAGAGAGACAAGCTTTCAAGCTACACAGAGCTCTTCCTCAGGTCTGGGAATGGTACTTACAGTGTGCCTGAAGTGAAGGGGGCAGGATGAGAGTGAGTGCTGGCTGCACCATAGAGGGAGTGTTACCAGGATGTGAAAAAGGGATGGGGGCTCCTGAACAGGGAAAGCTTGCGGGTTTATTGCTGACTCTCGGATTAAAATCTTTCCTCTCTGCTTTCAGGAAAGCTGAGAACTTGCTGATGGACAAGCCTCTGGGCTGCTTTCTGGTTCGAATCAGTCAGAGCAGGCCAGGCTACACCCTGTCATACAGGTAACGCATCCACTGCTTTTCTTCTACCAGGACTCTTGGTGTTGGGCTGCATGGGGCAATGCCAGCACAGTGCGTCCGCTTTCTCTGTGGACTGAGATAATGAGGCTGGTGCTTAGACACCCCTGACCTGGGTGCCCTAGACACACCCCAGAGGGACAGATGGGGACTCTGAGGCCTCCATAAAGAAGAGAGAGCCTCTGCCTTTTACTGAGGATTAGATTGATTCATGAACTATGTATAGTAGCCACAGGACATGAGCTGGAGGGGATGCTAGGTATGGGTACTGCGTGGGGAGCTGAGATGTTGGGCAGTTGATGTGGATGCTCCATCCATCCCCACATGCAGCTGTATGGGAGGTGGAGGATGGTGATTGTGAGAACTGCTTGAGGAAGTGCCATATTGGGTGGGAAAGGGATGCTGTTTCTGAGTCCTGCACTGGGGGGATCAGGCTGGAGGAGGTGCTGCCTGGAATGGGGACAGACTGGAGGAGGTTGGGATGTGTAGGCTAGGAACGTACTCAGAGGGGAGTGATGAAAAGGGGTCCTTTGCACAGGTACGTGCAAGCGAAAGTTCAGGGTAGTGATGCAGGGGCACAAGCCTGTAAGATAGAATGGGCTACTGAGTAGTCATCAATTCTAAGGCCAGAAGGGACCACTATGATCATCTAGTCTGATCTCCTAACACAGGCCAGCGAACTGCCCCAAAATAAAGCCTGTTTGAACTACAGCATATCTTTTAGAAAAACATCCAATCTTGATTTAAAAATTTTCAGTGATAGAGAATCCACCATGACCCCTGGTAAATTGGTCCAGTGATTAATTACCCTCACTATCAAAAATGTGCACCTTTGTTTCCAGTCTGAAATTGTCTAACTTCAGTTTCTAGCCATTTGATCTTGTACCTTTGTCAGTTAGGCTGAAGAGCCCTGTATTTTCAAATTTCTGTTCCCCATGTAGGTACTTATAAACTGTGATCAAGTCACCATTATCTTTCTCTGTGAGAAACTAAACAGGTTGAGCTCCTAGAGTCTATCACTATAAGGCATGTTTTCCAATCCTTTAATCATCCTCATGGCTTTTCTTTGAACCCTCTCTAATTTATCAATATCTTTCTTGAAATGAGGACATCAGAAATGGACACAGTATTTCCGTAGGGATACCACCAATGCCAAATATAGAGGTAATAAAACCTCTCTACTTCTGCTTGAAATTCCCCTGTTAATGCATCCAAGGGTCATGTTAACTCTTTTGTCCATAGCATCGCACAGGAAGCTCTTGTTCAGCTGATTATCCCCCACAATCCCCAAATCTTTTTCAGAGTCACTGCTTCCCAGGAGAGTCCCACATCTTGTATATGTGGCTTATGTTCTTTGTTCCTAGTGTATACATTTATATTTGGCCATATTGAAACACACATTGCTTGCATCCAGCTTACCAACCTATTCAGTATCGGTGACCAGCCCTTTTTATTATTTATATTTCCCCAAATTTTTGTGCCACCTGCAAACTTTATAAGTGATAATTTTGTTCCAGGTCATTGATACAAATGTTAAATGGTGTAGGGCCAAGAACCGTGTCAAGCTATCTCAATTGGCTCATGACCGCGCATGCCTGGCTCAGGGCAGACTGTCAAGAAGCAGGGCACAAACCCTAAATTGGTTGTATGTTCCATAATTAGATTTCACCAACCAAGTAACAAGAGTGAACTCCACAAGCTCTATAGCAGCCTTATCCTGGAGTCACAGACGGTCGCATTGGGCACTCCAGTCTATCTTGCCACCCAGGCAAGCTTGTCTTTGTGACAGATGGTCCCTTACACCAGAAATCACAACACTATTCAGATTACTCACAGTCCCAAAGGACCAGTCACTAACCCCAGGTCAATTGCACTGCAGGTTGCTCACCAAAGACCATGCTTGTAGCCAATTCTGTAATAAACAAACTAAAAATGTATTACCTAAGAATAGAAATGAGTTATTTACAAGGTTAAATAAAGCAGGTAACATACACACACAAGTGAGTTACAGTCTTAGATTTCAAAAGACAATGGAAACTTCTATAATAAGCAAACTCTGTATGTCCTTTAGGGCTAACTCATGCAAAACAGATGGAGGTCTTTTGCTTATGCTTAATGATTTTTGGACCTACAAGTACAGTAACTCCTTGCTTAACATTTTGCAGTTATGTTCCTGAAAAATGCTTCTTTAAGCGAAATGATGTTAAGCGAATCCAATTTCCCCATAAGAATCAATGTAAATTGGGGTGTGGGGAGGGTTAGGTTCCAGGGAAAAAAATTTCACTATACAAAAGATTTATTTATTTATACACACACACACACACACACAAACACACAGAGAGAGTATAAGTTTTAAAGAAACAAGTTAATACTGTACACAGCAATGATGATTGTGAAGCTTGGTTGAGGTGGTGGAGTCAGCGGGTAGAAGAGGGTGGGACATTTCTCAGGGAATGCCTTGCTGCTAAATGATGAACTAGCACTCAGCTGAGCCCTCAAGAGTTAACACATAGTTGTTAATGTAGCCTCACGCTCTACAAGGCAGGACGAATGGAGGGAGGAGACACAATAGACACATAGCAGTGGCTGAAAACATTCCGTACGGAAACTGAACATGATGATGAACCCACGCTATCCCACTGGAGTACAACACTCCCTCCACTTTCCAAAGTGCCGGGGGGTGCATGTGTGTGTGAGACAGAGACGTGCAGTGTGTGTATGAGAGAGAGACAGAGACCTACACCGTGTGCGTGAGAGAGATGCGCATTGCCCCTTCAAGTACACTGACCCCACTCTAAGTACACTGCCTTTTTAAGTAGATTAGCAAATTGAGACAGCAGTTGCTGCCAGCAAGCTTCCTCCATCCTGAGCCCTGTCGTGTCCCTCCCCACCCACCGCCCCCCACTCTGTGGAGATGGGGTACAAGAGCAGGGGGGCAGGAGTGGGGGGAGGGAGACACCCTGACAGTAGCACCCCTCTTTGCCCCCCACCTCCTGCACAGTAAGCAGGAGCCTCCCGGGAGCAGCTCCAAGGCAGAGGGCAGGAGCAGCACATAGCAGTAGGGGGAGGGACACCTGAACTGCCTGGCAATTGGTAGCCTGCTGGGCGGCTGCCGCACAGGGAACTTAGGGGAGCGGGGAGCTGATGGGGGCTGCCAGTCCACCCTGGTTCCAAGCCCTCACCAGCTCGCTCCAAGGGGCTGCTCTTCCTGCAAGCAGTGGACAAAGCAGGCGGCTGCCAAACAACATTCTAAGGGAGCATTGCGCAACTTTAAATGAGCATGTTCTCTAATAGATCAGCAACGTAACAACGAAACATTAACCGGGACGACGTTAAGTGAGGAGTTACTCTATGTCTACACTGCAATTAGACACTGTCACTGGCCTGTGCCAGTGGACTAGGGTTTGCAGGGCTCAGGCTAAGGGTCTGTTTAATTGCGGTGTAGATGTTCGGGCTTGGGCTACAGCCCAACCTCTGGGGCTCTCAAGGTCCTTCAGCCTGACCCCAGCCTGAGCCCAGATGTCTACACCACAATTAAACAGACCCTTAGCCTGAGCCCAAGTCAGTGGGCATGGGCCAACCGTGGGTTTTAATTGCAGTGTAGACATACCCTGAGAGTCCAAGCAACAAAAAGAACCTAGCTGCTTCTTCGAGTGCTTGTTCATGTCAATTCCAATCGGGTGTGTGCGTGCTGCGTGCATGCCAGCCGGAAGATTTTTCCCTTAGCAGCGTCCATAGGGTTGGCCTGGACGCCCCCTTGAGTTGTTCCTTCATGGCGCCCAATATAGGGCCCTGCCGACCCGCCACCCCCTTGGTTCCTTCTTACCGCTGATGATGGCTAGCTGGAACAAACTGTTGCTCTTGCTTTGCAAGTGTGAGTTAGTCAGTTAGTTAATAGTTGATAGTTCTAGTAGCTCTTAAGTTTTCTTTTGGGGATCCCCCCCAACAACGCTTCCCCAGCTCCTGGGTATGCCCCAGTCCCCAGGGTTCAAGCTCTGTGAGGACTTTGGAAAGTTTATGCCTAAGAGCGACCCACACTCTTCCTGTCTGCGGTGCCTCAGAGAGAGCCACCAGAAGAAGTGCAGAATTTGCAAAGGGTTCCACCCTAGGACCTTGAAAGACCGAGATCAAAGACTCAAGATCCTTCTAATGGTGGCGGCACTCCGACTGCAATCCGACCCAGGGTCGGCAGAACCCAGGCCCAGCACCTCCTCATCGGTGCACAGTGCTCCGGCACCGACAGTGCATGAGCCGGTACCGAGGAAGGACCCCAAGGAGTCACTGTACCGCCACGGCTCCGCCCATAGACAGTCTGCTGTCAGGCACTGGTCTCAGCCCCCGGTGCCCCAGAAAAAGAAAAGGCCGGAGAGGGGTCGCTCTCCCACCTCCAAGCCCAAGGAGCGATGATGGTGTGCCGATCTCCATCTCCAGCGCACCTCTCCCTGGCACGGTCCACCCATGTAGGGGAACCGCACCAGTCCCCTCTTTCTTGGCACCACTCGCTGGCACTGCAGTGTACCACTCCTCCATGGTCCTTCTCGGAGACCTCGGAGGCACAATCCTACTGCTCCGACAGGACCAGGAGTAGAAGGTCCAGGTCCCGCCATGACCACCAGCCCTATCCGGCGCCATGGCCACCGCAGTGGCAATCCGCGACTCAGTGGCCCTTCTGGACACTCTGGGCGTATCATCAGAGCCAGGGACAAATCCAAGGGTCAAGGTCCAGGTCCGCATTGGTGTCTTTGGTGTCCTTCGTCCCTCCACAAGTACTATCGATACTGCTGGCAGCCGTGCCACCAAGACCTCTCCCTACACTTGCAGCGCCAGTACCGACTCTTCTGATATCGGCGACCTCAGCACCGCCGGAGTCAGCAACCTTGGGACCGTCGGCATCAGCACCAATGATCCTAGTTCCGGCAGCCCCGGCACTGCAGGCTATGGACCTGGCGGCACAGCAGTACCGGGTGCTCTGTGACCCCCTTGGT